AGAAGAAGAAGAAGAAGAAGAAGAAGAAGAAGAAGAAGAGAGTGATAATAAAATGTATGAGAAGGGGAGGAGGAGGAAGACATGGAAGAAGGAAGAAGAGGAGGAGGCAGAGGAAAAAGGAGGAGGAGGAGAGTGATAATAAAATGTATGAGAAGGGGGGAGGAGGAGGAGGAGGAGGAGGAGGAGGAGGAGGAGGAGGAGAAGAAGAAGAAGAAGAGAGTGATAATAAAATGTATGAGAAGGGGAGGAGGAGGAAGACATGGAAGAAGGAGGAAGAGGAGGAGGCAGAGGAAAAAGGAGGAGGAGAAGAGTGATAATAAAATGTATGAGGAGGGGGGAGGAGGAGGAGGAGGAGGAGGAGAAGAAGAAGAAGAAGAAGGTGGTGATAATAAAATGCATGAGAAGGGTAGGAGGAAAACATGCAATAAGGAGGAAGAGGCAGAGGAAGAGGAAGAAGGAAGATAAGATAAGAAGGAGAACACTCATCCTTATCCCTCCAAAAGTTCCAACCACTTCACCTCTCCCTGTCCAGCTCTTCCAAGAGTCGAATGGTGGCCCGGCCCAGATCTCCCATGTTGTCCTTCCTTTGGAGAGAGGCCGAATGGGACAGACTCTGCTCCGGACTCTGGTCCTGGCAGACGGGCTCAGGAAGCAGGGCTGGAGGGTGGAATTTCAGGTTGTACAAACTGGTGATGTCCATCTGCAGGGCTGAAGGAACAGGGAAGGATGATGAAAGGAGAACATGAGGACAGCTTAGGGCACCAGACACATCCCCCTCCCCATCTCCGAGCTCCAGTATGTAGGTATATAGGTGATTTATCCAAATTCCAGGCCTCCAGAAATTCTCTAGTGCAGGCGTGGCCATGGTGGGCGTGGCTGGGGGTGTGTGGGAATGGCCACATGACATGGGCATAACACGGGACTTGTGCAAGGGGCACCAGTGGTGGCCAAGGGCTAAGGGAGGACTTCCCTGAGACCCTCCCTCACTCTCCTTCTTTCCCTTTCTTCTTTTTCCTTTCCTCTCCATGCTCCTTTCTTCTTCCTTCCTCTCTTTCCTTATTTTTCCTTCTTTGCTCTCTTCCCCTCTTTCCCTTTCCCTTTCCTCTTTCCCTTCCTCCTCTCCTGTCCCTTCTTGCATGCTCAAATGCAAGAGGGGAAACATTTCTCCTTTTGTTTTGTTTTCAGATTGTTTTCATAGCCCTCTGCCGGTGAAAATGGGGCTCGTGGCTCCCCCGGACCCTGTTTTTGGCCACGATGGCCTCCTGCAACCCTCTGCCAGCAAAAATGGAGCTGGGGGGGGGGCCTGCGCGCTGTTTCCAGGCCAGCCACGTGGGCCAGATCTAAGCAACCTGCGGGCCGGATGTGGTCCACGGGCCTTGAGTTTCACACCCCTTCTCTATTGCATTGTTGCTCAATCTTAGCAATTTTAAGATTTGTGGACTTCAACTCCCAGAATTCCAACCATGCTGGCTGGAGAATTCTGGAAGTTGCCAAGGTTGAGAAACACTAATGTACTCCATTGTTTTTGGACTTAGCTTGGTCTAGGACAGCGATGGCGAATCTTTTTTGGCCCACGTGCCATAAGTGGGGGGAGCGTGGGCATGCCGCACCCATAATGCAATGCACGACCTGCCTAGCGCGCATGCATGCATGACAGGCACCCCCCCATTTTTGCATTCCTTTTTTCACCCTTCCCAGGCTCCAGAGGCTTTATAGGAGCCTGGGGAGGGTGAAAACAGCCTCCTCCGCCTCCCCGGAGGCCCTCCGGAGGCTTCAGGAGCTTCCCTGAAGCCTCCAGAGTGCAAAAAAACCGGCCCTACGGGCAAACCGGAAGTTCAGGAACTGACTTCCGGTTTCCTCGTAGGGCTAGTTTAAGCCCTCTGGAGCCTTCAGGGGCCTTCTGGAGGCTTCCCTGAAGGCTCCGGAGGACTAAAAACAGCCCTACCAGCAAACCGGAAGTAACTTCCGGTTTGTCTGTTGGGTCGTTTTTTGTCCTCCAGAGCCTTCAGGGAAGCTCCTGAAACCTCCGGAGGGCCTCCGGGGGTGGTGGTGGCTGTTTTCACCCTCCCCAGGCTCCTATAAAGCCTCTAGATCCTGGGGAGGGTGAAAAATGGCTTTAAAAAAGGCTGAACTCAGCTGGCCAGCACACGCATGTGCGCTGGCCAGCTGACAGGGCAATGTCTCGCATGCCCTGACAAATGGCTCTATGTGCCACCTGTGGCACGCGTGCCATAGGTTCGCCATCCCTGGTCTAGGACCAACCTATGGCATGCATGCCACAAGTGACACACAGAACCCTCTCTGCGAGCACACCAGCCATCGTCCCAGCTCTACCGCACATGCACGCGCCTCCTGCCAGCCAGTTGATTTTCAGGTTTCTGCTGTGCATGCGCAGGGCGCATGTGCGAGGTGAGCCCCCTGCACATCCCCATGTCCTGTTTTTGCTCCCAGGAAGCTGCAGGGAGACCTACTGCGGCCAAAATAGGACGCAGAGTGTGGTGCGTGGGGGGGCTCCTGGGCAGGGCCGGAGTCCCTCACGCATTGCATTATGGGTGTGGCCACTCAGACGCTTTTGGCATGCGACTAGAAAAACGTTAACCACCACTGGTCTAGGATGCTCCCAGTTTCCCAGTTGGAACCAATGGTAAAATTTATCCATGCGATGTGCAGTGAAGGAATTTTCATCGTAACTTCTGACTTGAAGTTAGTCTTCGGCATATCAACCTCTCCACTCACCTTTTAGCTGGTCTAAAACCTCCATTTGTCCCGAAGACACCATCACCTTGGCCTCCTGTTCCAGTTTCCCCTGCAGATGCTTCAAAACCACCTGGAGAAGAAGGAAGAATTAAAATAAAAATAAAATACAAGGAAGTGAGAACAAGAAAGCGATCTGAATAAGCCTCCGGGAGCATTTTTTTGTCCTCATTCTCTGTGCAGCTTTCGGTCTCATGACGAGATAATCCCTCAATGTGGGCAAAGTCTCTATTATCCTCTGCTCGGCGTGATTGCCTATGGAGATGGTTTGGGACTGTTTTTATTCATTGCTTAAGCTTCTAAATGGATTTTTGTTTAAAAAAATCAAAACATGGTACAGCATGGTCTTATTATGCACTTTTTACTCATCCCTAACAAATTGCAGTTTTCTTCCGACATACAAATAGAACAGCGGTCACCAACTGGTGGGCTGCAAGAAAATTTTGGTGGTCTGCAGAAAAATTATTTGCATTTTTTATATTGCACTAAATCAGGGGTCCTCGAACTACGGCCGATGGGACGGATACGCGCAATGAACGTTTGTGTTGCTTCAGTGTCTTTTTGTATGGGTTGGAGGGGGGCGAAAAGTTAACATTCTGATTTGCTGGACTACAATATTAATGAATGTATTGATTAGTCAATTGATCATATCAAGTCAGGCCGATGGTCGCATCTGGAAGGTATAATGCAGTGTTTCTCTACCTCAATAACTTTAAGATGGGTGGACTTCCATACCCAGAATTCCCCAGCCAGGGTGGCTGGCTAGGGAATTTTGGGAGCTGAAGTCCATCCATCTTAATATTGCTGAGGTGGAGAAACACTGGTATGATTTTTTTCATATATAGCAATAGCACTTGGACTTATAGTCTTCCCAGCTCTCTCTAAGCGCTTTATAGAGTCAGCCACTTGCCCTCAACAGTCTGGGTCCTCATTTTAGCCACATCGGAAGGATGGAAAGCTGAGTCAACCTTCAGCCTGGTAACATTTGAACTGCCAAATT